CATCAGGTGTAACACACAACCCTAATATACAAAGCTGACAAGAAAAAACTAAGAAGAAACAGTTATTTCAACAAAAAAACATCAAACTTGAAATGTAACGCAGGGAATTCTGGGAATGTCAATTTACGGTTATTCACTGTAAATTATACAGTCTTTTGCACTTCCAAAAACGGTATACTACTGTAAAATTACATGTTCAATACAGTTTTTTACCGTATATAGTAGGGGAATTTACCGTTAACCATTTAACAGGTTTTTACTGTAGCATTTTTACAGTCTTTTACCATTCAATTCACGGTCATTTTTTACAGTGTGGGCATGAGTGAGTTTGTATTTCAGAGCGTGTGTGTACCTGTTACAGGAGATGGAGGTGTGATCAGTGGAGGTTTAACTGATGAGAAAGAAGATGATGTTGTTTGGTGTACATCGCTCTCTGAAACACAGAACAGCAGTGCTAGTAACTGAGGTAAATGTTTCTCACTCACAGATACTTCACTTCCGTTTTCTCGCTGACGCTGATGCCTTTCACACATTACTGAATCGCCAGACATGTTTGCTGACATACAAAACCACAAACTGTCAACTTTTGAGCATCTTGAAGCTCTCAAGTGTGAATAAAACACAACAGATGCAGCATCAAATGGCATTATGAGTATAATAAGAGTGTTAATTTACATAATAAGCTCAAGTCATCTAGAAGAAACTGTTCTCCTGACATTATTGAAGCAACTATGAGAACACACTTTCTGTTATCAGCAAAACAGTGATTAATAAATTTCACATTTGTCCAGTAAGCAACATTGAGATGAGGACGAATGTGCAAGCTTTTTTTTTTATTAACGTGATGATGACGGCAGGGAAAAAACACTGTCAACCGACATAGACAAACTATAAGGAACAAACGGAAGGCTATTTATACACACATAAAAAAACTCAAATGGAAACAGCTGTGGGAATAATGAAAAACCATGGAAACCATGGGAAAACTGAAATGAAACAAGGAACAAATGGAATGTTACAAACTAAGAGTCTTATACATTTCCAGAACAGAAATATGAACATTTGATAAAGTCAGGTTCAAGGTTCTTGTTTGATTTTATTGACATATAAAAGGTTTTTACGGACGGGATTTTAGATTTCTCTTTTTATCACTGCATGTATCAGAAAATACTGTCAACAGACAGAAAACAAATACATTTTCAGTTTTTAGGGTTACAATGTTATATACAACTGATATATGAACAAACCCCTCTGTAAAACACTTCAGAATATATATAGGAATAAAACCTCTAAGTTATGAAAGCAAAATATACCAAAATCTCAAATTGAGCAGTGCATGCAAAAACAGCGGTTTCGCCCGTAGTGTCTTAAGATCAAATTTTTGGTTTGGGAAACAGGAAATGAACCCAGGAACAAACAGAATATTACAAACTCCATGGAAAATTTCAACATATGATTTCAAAAACTCAAGAGCTTAAGTGAAAACATTATGATGATAAAGAAGTCATGTTTGCTGTGATCCCATGTTTGATTGTATCTGGTCTTAAAAGAAAAGGTTCTATATAGAAACCTAAAGTGTTCTATCAGGCGCTTCATAACTGTATATGGAACCTTTTAGAGGTTTCCACCAGTTTATGGATTTAGTTTTAATTAATTTTGTTTTAATTCATATCTTATTTGATTTAATTTGATTAATTAACAGCTTGTAATCACACTTTATTAGTATAAAAAAAAAAAAACCTGTTAAGAATGAAAGTATTATGCAATCATTTAAGACATTTCTCCTTCTACAGAACCTCTTTGGCCATTTCTAATAGCGTCTGCAGGTGTTTAGTATTATTACTGTCATTATGTGTGGTGATTTTCTGTAGATCATCGTGAGTTTGAGAGTCTCAGTTGCTCACCTTTTCTAACGTTCATCTTCACTTCAGTGTAGGAATCTTTTGCTGTAGTTCTATCAACTCCACACTGGTATGTCCCAGAATCCTGTTCACTCAGATCTCTGAAGGTCACAGAGAAAACTGCTGCTGTTGTGTCGTCAAACAGAGAGAATCTTCCAGAATGAATCCATTTATCTTTCTCTTCAGTCCTGATGAGATCAGTGCACCACTTACCCTTATCTTTGTCTGGCATCTTTCCTCTACAAAAATACTTTGTGTTTTGGGTATAATTCTTCACATATTTGCATGTAATGTTGACTTCACCGTCTGAATATCCTGTCACACTAATGGAGCTCACGACATCTACAACAAACCAGCAGTTGGAACTAAATAAATATTAAATTAGGCTGCTGTTTCTTTAAAATCATTTCAACAACATGAACTGAAGTTAAAGACTCTGTGCTGTTTTGAGTGATTTACTGTGAGTTCAGATTCTTACCAGGAATCATCAGCAGAGTGAAAGTCCAGATGATCTTCATTCTTCTCTCTTACTCAATGATCTTCTCTGTTGTTAGTAGATTCTGAGTGTTTCTTTCCTGCTTACATGATTATCATGAAATGCTGAATGTGACAAAGAGTCACCCACTTCCTCTATTTCTGCCATAGAGGCCATAGACACACAGAGAGAGAGAGAGAGAGAGAGAGAGAGAGAGAGAGAGAGAGAGAGAGGTTGATATTGGAAGTGGCACACAGGCTTCATTTGACAGTGACATCTGATGGACAGTCGTGCAAACAGCAGCAGTTCCTATGATAGTTGTATGAGTGCAGGTTTATTATTGATCAGCATGTTTTATATCACACTGAGATCTCAGTTACACTACAGATTAATAATAGGTTAAACATTATAACTAACGGATATCACCATACTAACCCAGTCGATTTTAGGACAACTGTTTACAACATTTCTGAAATGTTATGTTTAATTATGCAAATGAGACAGTATCTAATTAAATATGCACTCATTTGCATATATTTCCAGAACGGAAATATGAAAATTTGATAAAGTCAGGTTCAAGATTCTTGTTTGACTTTGTAGACATATTAAAGGTTTTTAAAGAGGGGATTTTGGATTTCTCTTTTCATCACTGCATGAATCAGAAAATACTGTCAACAGACAGGAAAAAAATAACATTCACCATGTTTTTAGGGTTAAAATGTTATTTGCAACTGTACCCACAGTAAAAACCTTTAGAATATAAACAGGAATAAAACTGCTAAGTTTGGTGTGTGTAAGAGCTGCTGAAGTGGAGAAAGAAACTCATTTTGAGAAAAAGGCCATTAAAGATTGTGACTGAAATCTATATAAAGTGCAATAAAATAAACACTACGAATGAACAAATATGGATTTTGCATGTTTTATTTCCAATAGGTTGAAATAAGACATTTATGGAAGCAAAATAGACCAACATCTCAAAATTGAGCAGTGCATGAAAAAAAACAACAATGGTTTTGTCTGTAGTGTCTTAGGACTTAAGGATTTAACTTTTGCTAATTATCCAAACATACTTCAAACATATCATATTAACATAGCAACATGTATGTGTCATGTGTCTCCACTATATGAGATCAAAACCTGCTAGAAAACCCAAACCGAGAGCAAATGTCCAGACGGTGGAGGAGAGTCATGGCTCAGATGTTCAGCACCACGGACAGCAGCTGAGATTCATCACAAACACACTCCTGTTCTCATCGACATGACATTACACTTCAGAAACATCTTATAATGCTGGATAACTGACCTTCAACATGCTTCGAAACTTTAAAGTTGATTTATAAAACGGATAGATTAGGGCTGGCTGAGTGGCGTGTGAAGCCGTTGTAAAATGCTTTATAAACACACACCTGTGACCAAATTACATTAGTATCACTGCACCACTGCGTCTGTGTGTTGCTTGACAATAATTCTGTTAACTATTGCTGAAGAAATACACAGTGGAAGAATTATTATTTGTTATGAATAAATTATGTTTTTTTTTTTTTGCTCCTGTGTTTACTTTGCCAGCTAGTAACAGGTTTAAAAAAAACAATAAGCCCCACAAAGCTGTAGTGTACAGTGAATTTAGAACCATGTAGTACTTAAATCACTACGGCTTCAGAGGGCTTATTGTTGTAGTAAACTACAGTAAACTACAACACTTCGAAGGCCTTTGTTAAATAGGACAGTCTAGCCTACTGAGGACTGTTCTTGTCACCTAGCAATTGTGACAGCTGCCATTGATGAGAAGCAGTAATGTTTATACTGGACTTTTTAAAAAAGTTATTAAAAACTAAACAAGGTTCAAAGCCTGTCTAAATATGTTCACCATGGTCCATTTATGTACATAATAAAGAGTATAAACTATCTAAGATGTCAATCAACATTTGAACAGCTTTATATATGTTTTGTTTTTACATTTGTATCATTAGATACATTAGATTATTCGAGTAAGTAGAACCCAGTACTTACATTTAAAAGTGCAATCTGGCAATTTCTCTCAGGTCCAGGATTGAAAACCACTATAGAGGAAAACACAATCCGGCAGCATGACTAGGCAGGGAAAGGTAAGACAGGACAGGACAAGCGAACGATGCAGGCACATGAAACAAACATTCTCACAAAAGACAAAGAGCACAGAGAGAAATAACGAGGGAGGGCAAGTGGTGTAAATGAACTAATAATCAACAAGGAGGGCAGAGTCAGGACTTGAGCTGGCTGGCACCAAAAAAACAAGAGCTCCTGGCCAATGAAAACTCACAGGCCAGACGCTCAACAAAAACACAATGAATGACAGGATCACAGCATGCATCTGTCACCAAACTATGTTACTTTATACAATTGAGTGTTAAGAGTTTTACGTGAACTACAAATTTGTAGTTAAACTAACTGAGCACAGCTGCATATTCTGCATTAATTCCACACTTTTTAAAAAATATTTAAGTAAACTCTGACCAAAAGACTGGGTCTAAATTTTACAACTATGGAGCATCACTGAATTATTATTAATAATAAAAATACCAAACATAATGCCAAAGTCAATGTGTTAAAGCCTTCAGCTCATTGAGATTATCTGCTGTGGCTCGTCAGGCAGTGAGATGATTGACAGCAGCGTATTCACTGCAATCCTGATTATTCCTCAGACTGACTCTGTCAGGACAGTCCGCTTTCTTGTGGAAATTCACCATGGCGTAATTCAGATCCTCAGCACATGTGATGAAGATCTGAGAGTCACCGGTGGCTTTCTGAACTGTAGAGTAAACGCAGTTAGCAGAAACAGAGGGGTTTGTGGGTAATTGAGGAGTGGCATAAACAGTGTTAGATGAATCAGAGGGGTTTGTGGGTAATTGTTTGTGAGAGTCTTTAATCTCCTCATAATCGCATCCAGTGTGAGAAACCTGAGGAAAGAAATACAAATTATTAACAGCTCTGAATATCTTCATGATGGAGGCATTAGAATTTATTTTCATTATGAATAAAATAATCAGCTTGTTTTATACAGTAACTGGACTGACTGCTTCAGGTTTTCCTGCTCCAGTCTGAGATGACGAATCACCGCCTGCCAAAAATTTGCCTTAAATAAGTGGCATTATTGAACACTGACGTCAGTTTTCACACGTCATCAAACATCTGTATTGAAGAGAAACAGTAATAAGAGACCAACGATGATCAGAAGCAGAAGAACCAGAACTAGAGAGACGATCAGAGAAGAGCCTGAAAACACAGAATAGGAAATAATGAGTGAATTTGATTACTTTGAGCGGATTATCAAATAATATGCTTATATTTTAGCACACAGGCACCTTTTAACATGCTAGGAGACACTGTTTGAAAACAGAAGCAGATGATGATGAAGGTGTTGATGATGATGAAAGTAATAATGATGATGTCACTTTTGGAACATCTTTAAATGACAACACTAGCACTGTAGTAATACTGAGGCCTAATGAGCACACTAATGCTGCAACACCAAACACTGCTGTAATACTGAATTACCACACACTTTCAAACTGTCTCTAGATGTCCAGTTCCTGAATTCACACACTGCTGTAACCTCATCAGTAGCTGATCTACAGCTACAACACAATCTGTAACAGGATTTCCCCAACAGGACAGCTGGTGGTTCACAACTTGATGAAAAGCTAATAATCAAATAACGAAGAAGAAAATAATTAACAAATAAAAATAAATTAAAATTAAGCGACTAGCAAAAAAAAATAAAAATAAAATAAAAATTTGTTTAGCTGTCATGTGACCATTAATCAACGTCAGAGAACCGTGAACATGCAAATGTGTTGTTAAATTATTGAAATATGAACTTAAAATCTCAAGTAAATATTTAAGGTCAAAGGAGTTCAGCTGATTAACAAAAGGGAATCCTTGATCTAGAGAATTAACACCACCTTGTGATCATGTTTTGAGAAGTTGTATGAACAGAAATGAGAATATGAATGTACCAGCAAGACAAAAATACCTGAACAGATCATGATAAAATTAACCAAGTACATTCATATGGAAGCTGACTGTGATTTTTAATTACATTATGATTAATATGAGTGAGAAAACCATCCGTACCTGTAACGCTGATGAGGACTCGAGTGATGAAGCTCTTGTGTCCTTGATCAGACTGAACTCCACACCAGTATTCAGCTGAATGTTGTTGAGTCACATGACTGATGGTTCTAAAGTTTGTGAGCTTAACACTGAGCCTTAATAAAAAAGTTTTACAAGAACCGCTAGTGGCCAGGCATGTAGTTTGAAATTAACCAACCTAAATGAGCACCGCTGCATATTCTGTTTTAATTTCACTCTTTTGTTCTGAAATATTCAGTAGCCTACTTATTTACATCAAACGCTGACCGAAAACTCAAGGGTTTCTGATCATTTATTTGAGTGTCATTTGCAGAACAAAACACTGCACTGTCATTTAAACATCCTTCATGTCTGACTTACAAGACTGTCTTAAATATACAGCAGAAGAGCATCACAAAAATAACAGAAATACCAAACATGGAAGCTTAAACTCAAAAACAAAGCCTTCAGCTCATTGAGATTCTCTGCTGTGGCTCGTCAGGCAGTGAGATGATTGACAGCAGCGTATTCACTGCAATCCTGATTATTCCTCAGACTGACTCTGTCAGGACAGTCCGCTTTCTTGTGGAAATTCACCACGGCGTAATTCAGATCCTCAGCAGATGTGATGAAGATCTGAGAGTCACCGGTGGCTTTCTGAACTGTAGAGTAAACACAGTTAGCAGAAACAGAGGGGTTTGTGGGTAATTGAGCAGTGGCATAAACAGTGTTAGATGAATCAGAGGGGTTTGTGGATAATTGTTTGTGAGAGTCTTTAATCTCCTCATAATCACATCCAGTGTGAGAAACCTGAGGAGAGACAAATAAATTATTAACAGCTCTGAATATCTTCATGATGGAGGCATTAGAATTTATCCTCATTATGAATAAAAATCAAGATATTATTTTATACAGTAACTGGACTGACTGCTTCAGGCTTTCCTGCTCCAGTCTGAGATGACGAATCACCGCCTGCCAAAACAAGAGTCTAAATTAATGACATATCACATTTCAACACTGGTGTCTAATGGAAATGCTTTCACACATCATCAAATATCTGTATTTTGCTCATGTCTCATTGCAGCCTGTAGATGGCGACAGACTCAAAGTGGGAAAACAGATCAACAAATCTTTGCATTTTAAACTCAGTATAATGGAGTTTCTGCATCTAAAGACATTAAGAAGTAGCTTTACCTCGAGACTGATGCTTCTTACAGAGAAACAGTAATAAGAGACCAACAAAGATCAGAACCAGAAGAACCAGAACCAGAGAGATGATCAGAGAAGAGCCTGAAAACACAGGAGATGAAACAATCAGATCATGTTTGGGACAGGATTGACCAGAGCATGATACTGGGCTTGAAGGTTATAGGTTTCACGTTGAACATTCACACAAGCGGTGTAAATACTGTTCTTGTCTTATACTCAGTTATGCTCATGTGTAGCTGAATGTGCCATTCAGTTTGTCCTAAACAGACTTTCTGAGCACAGAATCACTCTAAACTGGATCTGTTTAAATAAACTGTGACCTGAGGTTAAATTGTGGGAAAAATATATATATATGTATATACCACAACATTTTGTTTTTGAGGATGGAAATGCTAGTTAAGAGTTATAAACCTTATCCTTGAGCCCGTGAAAAGTCTTTGAGCCACTGAATGTCAAGTATCCATTTATGCCACACAAACAGCAGCTGTTGTCTTGATAGACTACAAACAGCAAACTACAGAATGCTAAATCAGTTCAATAGATCTAATATCAAAACAAGAATGAGTGGATGCTTGTTATTATTTATTTTTTTATACATCAATGATTTAAATGTATTAAATTAAACTATTTATTGTATAGTTGAAAATCTAATATTTTTTTATATTTAGTAATATCTTTCTGGTGTCAGAGCTCCTCACAAGTTACACCATGAATTGCATGTTTGTGTTTCAGCACCTGCTGGTGTAAAACTAGATGGAGACGATTTAGAAACTCCTGTGATCAGTGGAGTCCTGACTGATGAGAAGGAAGAAGAAGAAGATGATGATGACGATGATGATGGTGATGATGATGGTGATGATGAAGGTGATGATGAAGATGATGATGATGATGAAGATGTTGGTTGTGGTGAAGTTGTTTTTGGAACATCTGTATATAAAGCAACAAAACAATGAATTTCTAAAGGATGTTTTTTCACACACAGAACTTGACATCACGTGTCTCGTGGTAAATATAAGTGTTACTGATGTCATTCACACACTCACTACCCAGAATTCATGTTTGCTGATACAGAGACACTCAGAAAACAAAACCACGAGCTGTTTGTTTGAGTTCCAGTAACTGAAGTCTGTGAATAATAGCAGGTTACTGGACGAGCATCTTTAACTGCAGCTTCTTTAATTATAGAACAAGACTGGTTCAGTGACTCTCAGCAGTACAAAAACTGCTCTAATACTGCATTCAGATGAGCACACTTCAACTAGTTAAAAACTACAGTAACACTGTGTCCAAATGACCAACTAATGCTGCAGCTTTGAGTCCAGATCTGCAGTACTGGACATTTAAAGAATGAAGAATGAAACACACAAACACTGTCCTCTGCTTTACTCTGTGTTCAGGTTCTCAACAGCAACATTGATCAACAGAATACTGCACTTTAACCTGCACAGACTGCAATCATGAACCTTTATAAGGAAACTTCCTCTTTTTAACTGTGGTTTGTGGTTTTGCTCTGTTAAAAAGACAGAGCATATTTGTAGTTTATAATGATGTTTCCTCCTGAATATCCTCTCACAGCACTGATTTGTTCACCTGTTGAACACAAACTCAGATATGAGTGTAATTATGTTCTTCTTCATCATTACTATAAAGCATCTTCATTCACTGACAGTGAGATACACACACACACACACACACACCTGATCACTGTCTCTTTATCACTGTTCATATATTTGTTCTTTATTTTTGATCATTTGTCATTTTGTATTCAGTTAAGACATCTTATTAATTTTATTAGTGTACATCTTATACTGCAACATAAAAATATATTATATTTGTCCTGGTTACTGATTTTCTGATGTTTATTTTTTATTTTTACAGGATTACATGTTGCCTAAGAACCGCAGTAATTACAGTCAGTGTTGAGTGTGTGATGTTGATGATCATCATGAGTTTGAGAGTCTCAGTTACTCACCTGTTACAACGTTCAGATTCACTTCAGTGTAGGAATCTCCACCCCAAGAGATATCAACTCCACACTGGTACGTCCCACAATCCTGTTCACTCAGATCTCTGAAGGTCACAGTGAAAACTGCTGCTCTTGTGTCGTCAAACAGAGAGAATCTTCCAGAATCAACCCATTTTCCCCCATTTTTCTTATCAGTCTTGATGAGGTCAGAACACCGTTCAGTCTGTATAATTTTCTTCTGTCCTCTACAAAAATACTTTGCATTGTCTGTATATTTTCTATCATATCTGCATGTGATGATGACTCCTCCTCCTGAATATCCTCTCACACTGATGGAGCTCATGACACCTACAAAATAAACCAGCATCTCAATGTATTCACTAATGTATTCATAAGACTGAACAGAGATGAACTTTCAAATATCTGAAGTTAAAGACTCTGTGCTGTTTTGAGTGATTTACTGTGAGTTCAGTGTCTTACCAGGAATCATCAGAAGCGTGAAAGTCCAGATGATCTTCACTCTTCTCTCTTATTCAATGATCTAGTAGTTGTTAGTAGATTCAGTTCTTCTGAAGCTCTCGATGTGTGTTCAGATGAGTTCTGAGTGTTTCTTTCCTGGTTACATGTTTAACATGAACTGCTGAAAGTGACAAAGAGACGCCCACTTCCTCTGATA